AGTAGAGAGTGCAGCATTGTTCCTTGCAGCCAAGGGAGAGGTCCTCTCTTGTCGGGCAATGTATGATCATTATGGGCTGAGAGGTTAAGTGTAAGACCATTGAGGGTAATACCTGATGGGATAATCTTGCGTCTGCCCACAGTTCCTGGGTGTTACAAGGTGGCTTCGCCTAGGGACCACTTAGGGTAAGTGTTGGCCCCATAGAGCCCATGTGATGGGTTTCAGGGGGTGCACTGTCCATAACAGTGTATTCGGCCAAGCCTTGTAACAAAGGCTGGGCTGAACCCATGTGGTTGATGTATAGATCAATGTTTGAGTCCTATGCCATACAAGGAAGCCTAACTGGGTAGCAGTTTGGAAGGCTAAGTGAGCACATAACCTTAATGGGCCTAAAACCCATTCCGAACTGGGCCGATTTAATCAGTTAAATGAGGGGTGAATTCTAAGATTAGATTAGCAGATAGGATTGGGTCTTAACCCTATCCACTCAGAGAGTCTATATCTAAATGTGATTCAGATCTGGAAACCTCCTAATAAGATTAGGAGAAGGCTGATCTAATCTGCAGATAWGATAAGGGTTTACCCTTATCACTTAAAGGGAATTCTGATCCAAATATGATTTGGATCAGCAACTCCTAATGGGATTAGGAGCTGATCCCTTTAAGGATATAAAAGGATGAGGGGGCGGCAGCCTTTTGACACAACAACACATCCTGTCTTCAGAGCTAAAATCACAGAAGAGAGAATTCAGCATCATAGCGCTAAACCTTTCTTGCCGCCTCCTTCCTGCCGCCGCCATATCTGCCAGTTCGTCCTCCTCTTGTCAGTAGGAGTGATCAAGATTGGATATTGATATCAGTCATTTGTGAAAGGGCTGATTGAAAGAAGTGCTCACGTGCCGTCCAGTTGATACTTGCGAAGGATCTGGTTCTTTTGAAGAACGCTGTTGATTCTGCCCCATCCTGCACTGCGCCATCTTCAGTGGGAGCAGTTTTTGGTTCCTTCCTTGGGCGTGAACACCTCCATTGGGGGATACTATTTCTCTGTATTAGGTATATCCCTCTCCTACTGCATTTTGTTCAAATCTGGTTCGGTTCTTGGTTCAAGATTGATCCTTGAAAAATATGATTTTTCTAAAATAGGGAATATGATTGCCAGTAAGATGGAGAGAAATTTTTAAAATTCGCCCATTCTATTCCGCAAGATTTGGGCATCCACACGATGGATATCTCATCCCTTCACCAGTATGGTAATGCACATCAGTTGTCGTATGAAGAGTCAAAATTTAAAGCGAAGGAACCATTAGAGTTAATACACTCTGATGTGTTTGGACCCATCAAGCAAGCCTTTATTGGTGGGATGAAGTACATGGTGACCTTTATTGATGACTTCTCAAGGTACGTGTGGATTTACTTCATGAGGAAAAAATCTGAAACTTTTTCAAAGTTCAATGAGTTCAAGAAACTAGCGGAAGCAGAAGTTGGCAAAGGAGTTCGTTGTCTACACACTAACAATGGAGGAGAGTATACCTCAGGCAAGTTCTGCGATTTTCTTCGGGAGCACCGAATACACCATCAGCTCACGTGTCCTAGCACTCCACAGCAAAAGGGAGTAGCAGAAAGGAAGAACAAGCACCTGGCAGAAATATGTTGAAGTATGCTTCATGCAAAGAATGTTCCAAGACGATTTTGGGTAGAAGCAATGAAAACTACGGCTTTCGTAATCAATAGGCTTCCTCAACAAAGGTTATGCTTTCTTTCACCTTTTGAAAAGTTGTGGAACATGAAGCCTACAGTTAGCTATTTTCGAGTTTTCGGCTATGTATGCTATGTTTTTGTACTTGACCATTTACGTAGCAAGATGGACAAGAAGGTTGTTAAGTGTATTTTTGTAGGATATGACAATCAAAGAAAAGGGTGGAGGTGTTGTGATCCTACAACTGGAAAGTGCTACACGTCTCGAGATGTGGTGTTTGATAAAGCATCTTCATGGTGGTCCTCAGAAAAGGAGATACCACTAGACTTAGATATTATTAAAGATGAGCTGCAATCTGCTCAAATCCAGGTGAGTTTTGGTAAATCTGAAGATGCAGATGATAGTGGCAATGTCCAGGAAAGCGTAGCCCAAAGTCCTTGGCAAACTGGAGTTTATGATCGACCAAGCAAAGAAGGTGAGCCTAGTGAAGCAGAAGCACCAACTCCTCTCAGAAGATCTACAAGAGCCAGAAAGCCAAATCCCAAATATGCCAACGCCGCTATAATAGAAGAAGCAACTGTAAAAGAACCAGAGACATTTGAGGAAGCATTTCAGAATCCGGAGTGGAATAAAGCTATGGATGAGGAGATTGCTGCATTAGAACGAAATCAGAATTGGGAGCTCGTGCCAAAGCCTAAAGATGTGAAGCCTATCTCCTGCAAATGGGTGTATAAGATAAAGCATCGCATAGATGGATCAATTGAGAGACACAAGGCTCATCTGGTAGCTCAGGGGTTCTCTCAACAATATGGACTAGACTATGATGAAACATTTAGTCCAGTTGCAAAACTTACGACTATATGAGTCCTACTTGCACTTGCAGCAAACAAAGATTGGAACTTGTGGCAGTTGGATGTGAAGAATGCATTCCTGCATGGGAAGTTGGATCGGGAGATCTACATGGTTCAACCGATGGACTTTCAGAGTCATGATCATCCTGAATATGTATGTAAGCTACGGAAGGCGCTCTATGGGTTAAAGCAAGCACCGAGAGCTTGGTATGGCAAGATTGCTGAATTTCTGACTCATAGTGGTTATTCGGTGATACCCGAGGATTCTAGATTGTTTGTCAAAGCTAGTGGTAGGAAGCTAGCTATTGTACTAGTATATGTGGATGATTTAATCATAATAGGAGATTGTGAAGAAGAAATTCTCCAAACAAAGGAGAATTTATCAGTTCGTTTTCAGATGAAAGAACTTGGTCAGCTCAAGCGCTTTCTTGGTCTAGAGATTGATCATGTTCAAGAAGGAATATTTCTCTATCAACAAAAGTATTCTAGAGATTTATTGAAGAAGTTTGGAATGCTTGAGTGCAAACCAATTTCGACTCCGATAGAGCCAACCGCCAAAATGTGTGCTCATGAAGGGAGAGATTTGGAAGATGTAATGATGTATCGACAATTGGTGGGTAGTTTGATCTATTTAACTTTAACCATACCTGATATTTCTTATGCAGTTGGTGTGATGAGCCAGTACATGCAAAATCCAAAGAAGCCTCACTTGGAAGCAGTTCGGCGAATTCTAAGATATGTGAAGAGTACGCCTAGCTATGGTGTTTTGTATGAGAAAGGTGGGAATTGCAAAATAGCTGGTTACTGTGATGCTGACTATGCAGGTGATCATGATACCCGACGCTCAACTACTGGGTATGTCTTTATGCTTGGGTCTCGAGCAATTTCTTAGTGCAGTAAAAGGCAACCAACAGTATCTTTGTCAACAACAGAAGCAGAATATCGAGCTACAGCAATGGCAACTCAAGAGAGCACTTGGCTTATACAATTGTTGAAGGACTTGCGTCAACCAACAGATTATGCAGTTCCTTTGTATTGCGACAACCAGTCGGAAATACGTTTGGCGGAGAATCCAATCTTTCATGCAAGAACTAAACATGTGGAGGTGCACCACCATTTTATCAGGAAAAAAGTTTTGCAAGAAGAAATTGTATTAGAACATATTAAGACAGAAAACCAAGTTGCAGATTTGTTCACAAAAGGCTTAGGTGGCAACAAGTTTGAAAGTTTCTACAAGCAACTCGGGATGGTAGAAAGAACCAAAGCTAGTGTTGAGGGGGAGTGATAAAATACAAAACTAGCACGTGAAGTTTGTTATTTAGTTACCGAGTTAAATGTTAGTGGATTAGTGATTACACCAGCACGTGAAGTTTGTTATTTAGTTACCGGGTCAATTGTTAGTGGGTTAGTCATTAGCTGTTAAGTTGTTTCATTTATTGTTACTTGTCCTATTCCTTAGGAATTAGTTGAGTTAGTGGCAACATGATCTTCCTTTGTATGCCTATATAAGGCAAAGTTGTTCACCGATACTGCACCCAATTTTCAAATTAATAATAGCTTGGTTGCTATTCACTCTACTGTGTGTTTTTTCTTCTGTTTTGTGAGATCCTTCGTGAGTGCAAATTTCTCCTCTCTAGTTACTTTCCTTTGTTTTGCCTTTCCGATTTCTACATGATAATGGTAAGTAGAGGGTTTATACTTGTGAGAGTAATCGTAAGTAGAGGCTTTATTTATAGTTGAAGAGAAAGATCGTGTCTCATTATTTCTAGTTGTAGTAGGAAATTGAATTCAAGACAAGAAAGTATATGAATCCTACCACTTCTATAGTTCTATTGCAACGATGAAGGATAAAAAATATCATCTCTTAATCACAAGAATCCTACTCACAAGTACCCACATGATACTATAGCTGTACATTGGGAATATCTCTCCATGAATAGTAACATGCAAATACAGGAGATGTTCTCAATGTACAGCGTGGGTAGGAAATCCGAACATGCAAATACACCAACCTTCCCTTTTAAGTACTTGGGTTACAACCGTTAGGAGTAAGGACTCTGGAGAGTTTTTGATAGAAAACGTGGCTAGGCCTCCTAATCAGAACAAGAATTCTTTACCGACTAAAACTGAGAAAATTAATTAAATAAAATTATTTGAAATTGCTTTAATCTCCCCATTTAATTATTATGCATAATTAATCTCCCTTTAATTACTTCATTTTCAAATGATTAAATTAAAAATTAGTTAATTAACTAAAAAGCTTTAATGTTATTTAATTATAGAATAATAAATTAATAGTGCAATATCTTATTTAAGTAAATTAATAAATTATAATTAAGTGAAGCAAATTTAGACAATAAAACTAGGGGAAATTGTCCAAAACCCACCATCACTTTTTATGAATTCTCTTAGACTCACCACAACTTTTCAAAATGTCCAAAACTCACCATGTTACTAACTTGACGTTAAACAGACTAACCGGAGTTAAAACATTACCATTTTACCCTTTATAGAAAAATATAAAATATATACCTATATATTTTAATATTTTAACTAAAACACATGAAAAAGGAAACTGTTCAAAAAATATTTTCAAATATAAAATACATAAAAACACAGAAATTACAAAAAAAAACTATAGAAATTGAAAACAAAATCAGAAAATAAAAATTGTAGAAAAACACCTAAAATTATAGAAATACACAGAAATTGCAAATAAGTAACAAAAAATATAGAAAAATTTATAGATTGTAGAAAATAGAAAAATGTAAAAAATAGAAATTAGAAAAGAACATCGGAAATTATAAAAAAAAACACTAAAAATGCAAAAAAAAAAACAAGAAAATTGAAAACTAAAACAAACAAAAGAAACTTGGAAAATATAAAGATTGGATAAAAACAGAAATTGCAAATATACATAAAATGATAAAAAATAAAAAATTATATATTTTAGAAAAAAAAATTGTAAAAAACACAAGAAAGTAATAAAATTTTCAAAAAGATAATAAAAACCTACACAAAAATACATAAGATGATAAAAATTTAAAAATATCAACTAAAAAAGCAAAAATTAAAAAAAAAATATTATATATTTTAGAAAAAAATTATTAAACATTGAATCCAAAGATTTTTGCAACAAAATTTGAAAAAGCTTTTTAGACAATCAGATAAATAATTACAAAAACATTTTTTGCATAAATTTGTAGAACCCTTGATGAGGATTTACATTCCAGATTCAAAAGAATACACTGCAAATGTTTCAAAACATAAAAAAATCTTTGGAATTTATGATCGTGTTCTTTCAAATCTTCAAACGAGTAGATCATCTTCTTCAAGATCTGAGCGAGAGAGAATGTGCTACAACAACAACAAGATCCGAAGAGGGTGGTGTGGTGGCAGCAAGATCTAAGCAAGAGAGAGGGTGGTGTGGCTACCTTCAAGAACGAGAGAGAAGGTGGTGCAACAGCCAGATCTGAGCAAGAGAAGGTGGTGTGGCGACCAAATCTAAGCGAAAGAAGGTGGTGCAGTAGCCATATCTATGCGAGAGAGAGGGGTGATGCAGTGATTACCTTCAAGATCTGAGCGAGAGAAGGTAGTGTGGTGGCCAGATCTGAGTGAGAGAGAGGGTGATGTAGTGACTACCTTCAAGATCTTAGCGAGAGAAGGTGTTGCGGCGGCTAGATCTGAGCGAGAGAGAGGGTGATGCGGTGATTACCTTCAAGATTTGAACGAAAGAAGGTGGTGCGACTGCTAGATCTGAGCGAGAGAGAGGGTGATGCAGCAACTACCTTCAAGATCTGAGCGAGAGAAGGCGGTACGACTGCCAGATCTGAGTGAGAGGAGAGGGTGATGCAGTGACTACCTTCAAGATCTGAGCGAGAGAAGATGGTGCGGCAACCAGATCTGAGTGAGAGAGGCAAAGCAGAGAGAGAGAGAGAGAGAAAGAGAGTGAATTTTGGTCTAACCCTAACCTAAATGACCCTTTTCCCCTAATTCGCCATTCAAGGGTAATTTGGTCATGAAAAATGCTATTTATGCTGACATAGCTATTTGTGTTAAGAAACATTAAAGATGCACTAACGAAAGGTGAGTTTTGGAAAATAAAACTCATCTGACATGGTGAATTTTGAACGTTTTGAAAAGTTGTAGTGAGTTTAAGAGAATTCATAAAAAGTGATGATGGGTTTTGGACAATTTCCCTAAAATTAATTTATCTATAAATTATAAAGATCCCATCCTATGGGTTACACTAAAAAGTACCCCACCAATACTTTCATTTGTGACGAAACTCCCTAAACTATTATAATGCGACAAATACCCCCTCTATTAATGGTACATCAGTCAACTTCGAAAAAGATCCTCATTTGGCAGTTTAAAGCTTTTTAAATGCTTAAAATGCCCTTTATTATTTGCTCAGACAATTTTATTCCCACTTACACTTTAACCTAAGTAGCAACACGGATCGATGATTGCAATCCTGCAACAAGACCAATCAAGCCTAGGTCAATTTGGCCCATTAAATATAAATGCTGAATATTTCAGCCTAATTAATGAATATTTTAAAAATAAATATGGAAAAACTCTAGAAATAAATATATATCTAAGCAAAGAAATAAATATGTGACAAATGGGTAAACTATAAATAACAGTTAATAAGATAATTCTAGACGTATATATAGCCATATACTTTAAATGTGTGTAAAGAACATTTTGGAATATAAAGACAAAATAGGAAAAATACAAATTTAAGAAACTTATGGAATGTGCACCTAAATGTTATAAATAGAATCTTTAGTTCGGTTCCAATTTACAAGGGAGTGGCTCAATAGAAGTGGGGTCAATTTTGTGACGTATGTCAGAAGCTACTGTGATCTCCAAGCCAGTCACCGTGAGTGATCACCAACTCAAGTGTCGTGATCTCCAACTCAGATAACTTGGCATCCGCAATCTCCAACTCACTTGTGCAGCCGTGGAGAAAAAATGACAATTCTTTGACGCTATCTCCAACTTCGCTCACGGTCATTAATTCAGCACTTGGAACCGCTGTGTGCCTCGTCACGGACCATATGAATAAAAACCATTGACCTATCCCTCAGGTACGCAAGACCGTGGACCACTATACCATGGCTGGGGTGGTAATGGGCCGAGCTGGGCTGGACTTTGCACTTATGATAAGGACTATAGCTTAGGCCCAGGCTTAGTCCGGCTTAGGGTTTCAGGCCTGAAACATAAGTCCTATCCTAGGTCTTCATGGGCCCGGGTTGAGTCGGGCCATGACTGGGGTGATAATGGGCCGAGCTGGACTGGACTTTGCACTTATGATAAGGACTATAGCTTAGGCCCGAGCCCAGCCCGGCTTAGGGTTTCAGGCCTGAAACATAAGCCCTATCCTAGGTCTTCACGGGCCCGGGTTGGGACGGGCATGATTTTGGGCCAATGTCTTTCATATATAAAACATTATATATCTATAATATTTTATATTAAATAACATAACATACATATAAACTTATTTTGTACATTATATAATATAAAACATTATATATAATATTGATGTAGGGTGGCCCAACCCAGTCCATTCTGGGCTGGGAGGCCTAGCCCACGAACACCAGATCTAGGGACGCGACTTGCCACAACAGGGGCTACCCTGCACCCCTCGTATGGAGCCAATCATGGAGCGCCCACGCGTCCTCGCGAAGCTCGCTGACCGCTCCCATACGGCTCCCATCTTAGGCGTTCATCTCCACCAACCTCCAGGCGCTTCAAGTATAAATAGGGGGTATGCCCCTCCAGGTAAGGGATCCTAATCCTGAATATGATCCTTCTACAAAACTTAAGTGCATTCATTTTGAGAATTCAATGTCTACGAGCATCCCCCTCAGAGTCCTCGTGTGTACCTAATTCCCCTCTTCGTACCCTTGTACTAACTTGACCGTCGGAGTCTCCGCCTCGGGTTCTCACTCGAGGCCTTTGACATCCTCTGCCTTGCAGCACTTCAGCGACCAGCCTCGGCCACAGTCCTCGGCCTTAGCACTTCGTCTCCGGATCCTCGAAAATTTCAGCTCACCTCCAGAGCCTAGGAGCAAAATTACTTTGTTGTCCTCGACCAATCCGAGCATCAACAATTGGCACCGTCTGTGGGAACATTGCTAAGACAATCCCCTAAAGAACTTTGACAAACTAAGAAGTCCCTAAGCTTCGATCATCATGGTACGAAGAGCCAGGAACACCCTGAACCTTGTCACTAATGAACAATTCCAGGTTGTGCTCGACTGCCTGGATTATTTA